TGCTTGTTGAGACCATCAATGGCCAGGTGCTTTTGTCTGGGCCTATCAAGGCCGCCACCCAGGCCTTGCACCTAACTATTGGCTTGCATGAGAAGGCAATCTAGTTTTACCTCACTTCTGGATTGCATTTCCCTGTGGTCTTGGGCTTGGCGTGGCTTTCGACTCATGACCCCCAAATGCATTGGTCCCAGAACATGATCACATTCCCGAGCCTGCAGTGCGTGGACCACACCCATCAAATCTGTGCAGGGCAGGTGATGAGTCCACCCAAGGTGTCTGTGCCTTCGGAACTAAAGGACTTTGCAGATGTTTTAGTGAGCAGGAGGTGGACCAATTGCCCCCGCACTGGCCTTATAATTGCTCCATTGATCTGGTGCCCAATGTGCCCCTTCCCATGGGCCGTTTGTATTCCATGTCAGATCCAGAATTGGCCATGTTGCGGGACTTCTTGGACAAAAACCTCGCTCAGGGGTTTATTAGGCCATTGTCATCGCCTTTGTCTGCTCTGGTCCTATTTGTGAAGAAAAAGACAGGCGACTTGTGCCTGTGCTATGACTATTGTCGGTTGAACACCATCACAGTGTGCAATTGGTACTCTCTGCCTTTGATTCCAGAACTGATGGAGCAGCTCCGGGAGGCTACCATGTTCATGAAGTTGGCCCCACGTGAGGCATACAATTTGGTGCGGATTCAGCTCGGAGATGAGTGAAAGATGGTGTTTGGGACCAGATACGGGCATTTTGAAGATATGGTCATGCCATTTGGGTTGACCAATGCTCCCACCATCTTCCAGCATTTTATGAACAACATCTTCTGGGACCTCCTTGATCAGTTTGTTGTGGTTTACCTCAATGACATTTTGATTTACTCTAAATCGAGGGATAGCCATCTGCACCACTTGCACCTGGTTCTACAATGGCTCCAGGAGAACTGCTTGTATGCCAAGTTGGAGAAGTGCCAGTTCTTCCAGTCCACCATCGAGTTCCTGGGATACCGCATCTCTCCGGAAGGCATTTCCATGGAGCCGATTAAGGTTGAGTCGTTGCTTAGTTGGCAACCTCCCCGGTGAGTGAAGGATGTCCAGAGACTCCTTGGGTTTGCCAGCTATTACTGGACCTTCATCCCCGGCTTCACTTCCCTGACTGTGCCTTTCACTCAGCTCCTCCAGAAAAGGGTTCCATCAGGCATGATATTCCCCTCTGAAAAAAAAATAGGGGCCGCTCGCCCCGCCCGCTGCTCGCCCCGCCCGCCCGCCGCTCGCCCCCCCCGCCCGCCGCTCGCACCGCCCGCCGCTCGCACCGCCCACCCCGCCCGCCGCTCGTCCCGTTCTATCACTCCCTTGTGGTTCCTGAATGGCCGGCCTGTCCACTCCGCCAACCTGACCCTTCCCTGCCAGCACCACGCGATGAAGACAATCCATTGGAGTACGAGGTCGCCAGTATTCGAGACTCTCAGTGGTTGAAAGGGCGATTTCAGTACCTGATTGAATGGAAAGGGTACGGACCAGAGGCGTTCAATTGGGAGGATGTGACTTCCATCCATGCTCCAGATTTGGTAGACGCATGTCACATGCAATTCCCGTCTCGGTCGCATCCAGACTATCAGACCCGGGGGAAGGGCCCTGTGGTGAGGGATAGTGTTGTGGTTAGCCGGCAGCAGGTGCAGATGGCTGAGGTGAGCAATGACTCTGATGAGGGGCCAAGACCATCAGGGAAAGGACTGCTGCCTTCAGAGATTGTGGGGGCTGGCAGTAGTGATGAGGAGGTTCCCAAGGAGCCTGTGCCAACTGCATGTTCACGAAGGATTACTCAGAGGAAATAACAATTACAGCAGCACAGGTGACTTGGGAGTAAGACTGCAAGGTAATGGCCCCTCCCTCAAAAGAATAAAAGCCAGGTTTGAAAAAGCATTCTGTGCAGAAAGCAAAGCAGCTCTGAAACTCAACTGGTGAACATCTTAGTTTGTGTTTGGAGAATTCTGTAAATTAGTTCTTATCTCTGGGTTTTTGGCAGCCTTGACAAACAACTTTCTTGTCAGAGCTAATTGGAAAGCAGCCTTTTATCTGTAAAGGAACAGAATTGTGATTAAACACAATCCATTTCTGGAGCCAGGGCAATCTGAGTAGGAGGGGATGCTCCATCCCAGAAACTCAAATTCTCTTGATTGTCCCCCATCCACATCTCTGGCTCAGTAACAAAGTGAGCCAGGCCTTCCCCAGCTACCAATCCTTCCAACTGGCAAAGTGCTATGGGCACTTTCAATATCCTCAGTCTCAGCCCTAATGTCAGCTTTGGAAGCATAGTAGCACGAGATTTCTTGAGCCTGGGAAAATGGGATGGGGGAATTTCATGGAGCGTATGTGGTTAGATATAATAGCATTTTTCTTTAAAGTCAAGGTCATGTTATTTCAGCACCTGGCTGAGGAATGGTTGAGGGGATGTCTCAAGTTGGGGTGGATGGTGATTGGGGCATGTGATGCAATGAGGGGCGCAGGGGGTAGATTTGTAATTTATTTATTTTTTATAAACTTTCAGATTCGGGATTTCCCAGATGTGCCAGTTTACTACTCTAATAAAAGGAAACTTTGAGAACATGTCTGTCTTGGAGTTATTTGTTCATTGCTCTGCACTGTGCACACACATCCATACACACATCATTCCAAACACCACACACTAATACCGGGAGCTCAGGGCCGCTGCGTGCAAACATGCCATCTTGGTGGCAGAAAGGCAGGATCAGGAATGGTGGAGGAGGGGGAGGGAGAGGGGAGCAGCCTAACTGCCTGTTTGGTGGCAGAAAGGCAGGATCAGGAACGGGAGGGAGAGGAGGAAAGTAGCCTAACTTGCTTAATGTCAGACGCGCCTCTGTTCAAAACCCAAGAAAGAAAACCTCTGACTCCCTGTTTGTAAAGAGGTTCTTTTACTGAGTTTGAAATGATAGCAACGAAAGAAAAGCAAGATCTGAGGCAAAAGGTGCGAAAGTTACATACTGAAAATTTTCCCAATTCCCTCCCACAGGGATCCATGCTGAATACCCAATCCCCATTTCATATGGTGTTATGTGGGGCACATCTTCAGGTGTTTTTTGCCCATCATGGTATGCGGAGACGGTTGACCTTGACTGGGTATAAACAAGTCCATTCAGCTGTGCAGTAAATCATGAGCATCCCTGCCTTTTGGTTCACACACAGGCCGTCTTCACTCCAGCTCAGTTCCTCACCCAAATGCCAATCTCCCCCTCTCCCCATTACTATGGCAGCAGATAGCAAGCAAGCATCAAAGAGCAGTGGCGGATTAAAGCTCACTAAGCACTGACAAATTTTGGTGCTCCCCTCCTTTGTACATACAGTACAAACGAAGCCAAGCTTAGGCTACATAAAAGTTTTTGTGGTGCCCTCTTTGGGTCTGGTGTCCTAAGCAAGTGCTTAGTCTGCTTAAGGTTAATACACCATTGTCAAAGAGGCTGACACAGGGAAGAACACACAGCAAGAGACACCCTAATAGGAAGTGTTCTTATTAAACAGGCTGTTAAAGGTATAATATCTGATCAGTTTTTAAATCAGTACCCTGACAGAAGGAAGATTATAATGCAAAGGAGTCAGGATCTGAGGGAAGTCCTGTCTTAGCACTTGGCCATCAGTAGCCCTGTTGCCCTTTCACCATCCCCTCCCCTTGACCTCTCCTGGTGTTCTCCCATCTTATTGCTGATGCTTTGGTTACAATGCATAGAAAGGGAATGGCATCTCTGACTTTGTCCTCCTGCATACACCATGAGCAACCTGCCCAAGAACGAGCATAGCATCAGCAGCCTTGAGGAAGAGGTAAGCACAGCCAGGCATCCCCTTGGGGAAGCGGGTTGGTGTGGTTTCTGGGATCCCAGTGCTCTCGGAGCTCAAGGGCCAGGCTGGGCGCTTGCCCTCTACTGCCCAGGGCTCCAGGCAACCTCCAGTGCTGTTCAGGGTGTCCTCTGCATGGCCTGAAAGGGACGGCAAGGCTCCTCTGGTGGACAAGGGTTGGCGCTCATCCTGGTCTCGCCTTCCTCGTCTGGAGACAACGGGATCCCCCAAGCATCGCCTGAGCCACCACAGCCCCCCCCCACCGCCACCCACACGAGCGATGTTGAGCTGGCCACATCCACTCTGGCCACACTCCCTTCCATCAACCCTGATGCAGCCGTCAATGAAATTGAGTTTGGCACCCGCTTTACAGGATAATAACAGCAGCCTGTCTTTTTCCTCTTTCTGATAAGTTGACCTCCAAATGAATAAATTGTGGCTCTTCAGGGAGATTTTTTTCCATATATATTACACGAGTTTTTTGTTTTTCAAAACAGAAACACAGGAAATAGCAGTTCCAAAAGAAGGGGAGGGTGCTTGAGAAACAGGAACGAGCGGAGAGAACGAGCGCGCTACCTTTCCGACTTTGTGCAAATCCTTTCTTAATCCTTTGTAAAGTAAAACTACTATTAGTTGTAGTTGTAGCTCTGTGAGATTTGGGAATAGCATGTGGCTCCTTTTTCTCCCTGTCTTAATAACTCCCCGCATTCCAGAGCATTCAAATTTAAACTGAGATTTCAAGGCAGGGTTCTTTTAACCTAAAGCTCCGTCCATTCCTTTCTCTGCTTAAGGATACGGTACATACCAAACAACCCTCCCCCCTCCTCCAAATCCCGTCAGCTCCGGTCTACAGTTGAATCTCCCTTGCTCCGAAACGAAGCTCTTTTCGTCACCAATCATCTAGCAATAGCTGTACGTGCAAAGCGGTTTCGCCTGTTATTTCTAGTGCACGTAGACGTTGTTTGGCGCGTGTATGTTCTTTCTTCCATTCCTGTTTTTGGAGAAAATAGCAAGAGCGTCACGCCTTGCTTGGGCAAAGGCGGAAAGGTAGCGCGCGCGTTCTCTCCGCCCATTCTTGGTTCTCAAGCACCCTCCCCTTCCTTTGCAACTGCCGTATTTTCTGATTGGCCGCTTGGTGCCCCGGCCAGGTGTCAGCAACAGCAGGAGCTAAGACTGCAAGGGGTGAAAGAGACAGTCTGAAGACTGAGGCATATGGTCGCCTGTGGCTATCACGTTTTCTTTAATTCAGTGGTGATAGCCTATAGGCGCTTGCTACCAAAGAAGATTCTGATCAAAGCCAGGAAAAATTCAGAACTGCCCCCTTCTATGACAGCTGCCATACTAATGTAGAGGAAGGCGCAACCGGCTCTCTTATCTGACTTTTTAAGACGCTTGCTTTATACTGGAGATACTTTAATTTTGGGTTCTCCTCCTGCTCTTGGTGTCGGATATTGGAAGTACTGGACTGATGCACACAACTCCAAAGGTTAGAGGGGTTCTCCCCTTCTTCCTGTCATATGAGTTTAGATGCCTGAAAATGACAAGCACCTAAAGATGTTCCACCACTGCTTAGACTTGTGGGAAGGGGACACAGAGGGGGATTTTAAGGAATTGTTGAACCAGCTTTAATCTTCAGCTTTGGACCACTTTGCTGAAGAAAAGAGGGAATGGGCTGGAACTGGGATTGGTGGGCTAAGAAATCAGAGAAGTTATCTGATAGCTTCCATTTTGCTGCATCTTTCTTGCATTATGCTGTGAGATCATGGACAACTGTCTACCTCTTTGCTCTCTACCACTCTCCTTTATTGCAGTGCCTACTGCAAGGAAAGGTAAAAATGTCTGCATTTGGAAAACGATTTTGATGCAGTTGCCACCTGGATTCTGCTGAAATGTGTCTTATAGAACTGCAAGCAGCATTACCTTTGTAGGTCTTAGATGGCTCTTGCAAAGAAGGTATTAATAGCTCTGATGTAATTCCACAACAGAGGGAAATAATGCTATACATTTAATATATAATCTCTCAAATTCTTTATTTCTTTATGGAATTTATATCTCCCCAAAACAGTCTTTGCAGATACACCCAATGGTTGCAATAGATTGAAATTATAATTAGAACTGTATGTTTATTATGTTTCAAATACATTAAGATTTATGCAGTGAACTGAGTTGTTAATAGAATCTTGTTAGCAGAAAGTGATAGAACTAGAAAGTGTTACAGCTTTTTTTAAAAAAATGAGCATAATTTTACTGTTATTTACTGAAAAATCCATTAAAACCTTACATTCTGTTAATTGTGTGCTTAGGTTGTAGTTTTCAACATCTTTTCTAGTTTAGAAGTCAGTGCACTAATCCGTTTTAGCTAAAATTAGAATGATTGGGTATTAGTACTGTTTATTGCTGTTTTTATCCATAGTCTTACATAAGTGTAAGGATGTATACATGAATGTAACTTCAAGTACACTTGAGAGCATAGTAAAGTTGACTTTATGATGGAATTCAATTTGATTTGTAAGAAGGTATTATATAGTAGACAGTAAAATTTTCAATAACTGTGCTCTGGCTTTTCTTCTTTCTTTCATCTGATTTAATTTAACCATTAATGTAGCTGGGCCTGGCCAGTAAGCTTATTAATTTACACAAGCAGGATCTGATATCCTTCCAGGCATGCAGCTTAGATAAAGGGAGTTAGAACCCATCCCCTGTGGGTTTCGTCAATACAAAGAAGCAACATGTTAATCCACCCCCCTTTTCTGGGAACGTAGTTGAGAAGAGATTCCCAGGAAGTTTGTTTCAGAGCTGGAATTTTTATGGCCCCTTTTCCTCTTGCTATCTTTCCAAGAGATGACAAGTTTCCAGGCATCTGGGGCTCCAGTCCACTGTTGTAAATCGTGTAAAGGTCATACAGATTCAGTACAAGAATTAGGATGTTCAGGTTACATCAAAAAGGATTAATTGTATTAAAAAAAAACCTTCTTCTTCCATTGAAGAATGGCAGGTACACAGATCTGACAGATGAGCTGTATTTGAGAATTGGTCTAGCAAATGTTTGTATGCTCTAGTTAGTAATACAATATTACCGGAGAAAAGGCTATGCAGGATTAGGTTAACAACTCTTAATGCCTTTTTGGCTATGTTGTTACAGTGGGCTCTAGCACTTAGATCATTAGAGATGGGTACTCCAAGGTCCTTGACAGAGTGGGAGTCATCTACAAGATTATGTCCATTCAGCTTGTATTTTATTTTCTGATTATTGTTTTTGCCAATATGTAGGACAGAGCATTTATTTGTTGAGATTTGAAGTTGTCATTTGTTTGACCATTCTGATACATAGTCAGGGTCTTTTTGAAGGGTAGCAGTATTGTCAGTGGTGTTGAATAGTTTTACATCATCAGGGAAAAGTACACAGTTGCTATTAATATAATCACAAAGGTCATTTATGTAAAGTATAAAGAGAGTTGATCCTAGAACGCTGCCTAGGGGGACACCGCTGTTGATAGGTACGGGATTTGATAGGGTGCTCCCTATTTTGACCATTTGTTGCCTGTTTGACAGGAATGCAGCTATCCAATTATGTAGGTGTCTGGAGATGTTTTAGAAATAGTTTGTTGTGTCAAAGGCTTTACAGAAGTCTACGTAAATAGCATCTATTGCTCTGCCCTGATCGTGTTGTATAGTCCATATATTTTTGTAGTGTAGGATTTGCAGATTACAGGATAATTTTTTTTTGAAACCAAATTGTTTGTTAGAGAGTAGGATGTTTGTCTATAAGTGGAGGATAATGGATTGGTTAATAATTGATTCCATGACTTTGCAGGTGACACAACATAAAGAGATTGGTCTGTAATTTTCAACTAGGCTGGGGTCTCCCTTTTTGAAGATGGGGATCACCATAGCTAGTGATCATGGGTTGGGCAAGGAGCTGATCCTGAAAGATTTTTCAAAGATTATGCTTAGAGGTTCTGCTATAGCAGTGGAAAGCTTTTTAAAGAAGTAGGCACACAGTCTGTCGGGTCCAATAGATAGAGATGGTTTTAGACTGTGTAGTGCTTTTTCGACATTATCTTCTGTAAAATCGATATGTATTAGATCGTTGTAATTGTCTGTGGTTCAACTATGAAATATTGGGCATGAGCCATTGCTGTTTACAAAGACTGAGCCAAAGAATGTGTTAAAGGGGTTGGCTTTAATGGTTTCATTGTTACAATCAGCTGTTAGGTCCTTTTAGGGGTTGGTTGTTGTCTTTACATGATATTATATATCTGAGGAACCATCTCTCCCTAATGGGACTAGCCTGCCCCACTCGCACCAGTGGAAGAGGTCTATTAAGGAATTCCAGCACAAAGGTTCAAGGAGAAGAACCTTTTCCACTGTGGCCCCATTCCAATGGAACACTCGACTACCAAACCTGAAAAATGCTTCTGGCCTTCTAGAAGATTATTAAAACTTGACTTTGTTGGTTGACCTGGAGACCTGAGCAGGACACTTACTGCTGTGATCGCTGACTGTTCATCCATCTCTTTATTATGAGTCAGCTTATTTTAAAATCTTAATCTGTGTAGTTTTAATGTTTTAATATTTTAATTTCCCCCCACTTCTTTTATAGCTTGTAAGCTGCTCAGAATCACCTTATAGGGGAGATGTGTTGCATAAAAATTAATAACTAAAATAAAGAAATAAAATAAATCTGGGAATTTTCAGATGATAACCCATCTGGGCAGAAACACAAAGGGAAAACAATTGCTGGGCTTGTTTGATTATATAATTATACATTTGTAGTTAAGAAAGAAAATGACAACTTAGAAAAAATGATTTGTCTTAACTACTAGTGTTATATTTGTGTATTCTTAAATTATTAAAACCAAATTGGAACACTGAATCAAAATACTTTAAAATGCAACGGTGCTCCATTAAGTAAGGGATTTAAACGTACAGTATCTAAATGAATGAATTTAATGAATTTAGTGAAGTAATTTAAATATAAAAAATGCTGTTCCTTGTCCTAATTTAAATATTGGAATATATAAAAAAATATTGGTCTCGGATGGAAATTTATGATCTAGGTTGTGAAACTGAGTAAAACATTAATTTCAATAAGAATTTTTTTAACATACCTTACATTTTACCCTTTGACCATATCCTAAGTTTGCAACATTTCCTATTAGTATCATTTTGTGAAAAAAAGAATATATCTGATTTCCACTCAATTAAAATGTCTATACGATTATTAACAATTAAGGTTTCTTATTTATTTTGGTGCAACCTTACATTCTAGGTTTGAGAGGCTACAGAATATGATGAAAGCCTTTGTTTAGTGGCAAAATATAAGATAAATACTATATTCAACATAACAAATACGATATAATAGTTTTTCACATTGTTAGAATGCTCAGTTGAAATACTGTAGAAACAGCCAAAAGAAATTGAGTTGTAAGTGGATCATGCATGCCATATATGCTAGAAGACTATGGATATACAGATAGAACCTGAATTACAATGGCAATTGGGACGGGTATTGGTATTGCTATGTGATAGTTGTAAAATCTGACATCACACAAAGCAGCATTGCAACAGCAATCTAGATACTCTTCATTGCTATGGTAACCACAAGATATGCATGGGTCATTAAGTGAGAAGCAGTAGGAGTCCCAGATAAAGACCAAAGTGATACTATGGGGGTGAGGTCCTGGAACATCCAGGTCAGGCAAGTCGAGGGAGAGGGAGTTGGGGAAGGGTGATGCACATTGATGCATAGGTGTGAATACGTGTGGGAGAGTATGGGATATATATATGTCTGAGCATGGGAGGGAGACCTACAAAGGAGGATCTCGCTTGGTGTGTAAGAAGGCAAGAGGGAGACTTACCAGAGCAGCCTGTGACTGATCTTTTGAGCTTCCCTGTTGATTTTCCATTTGTGAAACTGGAAGGAAAAGTCACAAATAATGATTACAACTGCCTTCTATCAGTTTTGTTTTGGCATTGCTAGCACTTTTGTCAAATTAGTACTGTTTACCATATCTTAATGTTCTTCATTAGGTGTTGCTGCTAATTTGATACTTATTTTCTACTTGTCTCTTGTATTCGTCTCTTGTATATGGCTTTGTAAGCTTCTCTTAGGTTGCACTTAATATAAACTTAATTAGATGTTGCAGCAGTGGTCTACACTTTTGTAGTGATAGTAATCACAATAAGTTCATATACTTATTGCATTTGAGGGGTTTTATGGATGTTATGAACATATACCCAAAAATATATGACACCAGTCACTAATAAAGGTTGTTAATATATTTTATGGACCAAAATCCTCAACAGAGATAAACATCTTTGCAGAAGGAATTCTACATGAAGGAACCTGGTGTCTCTAGTTAAAGGTCCTCAAGTAGTGTAACTGGGAAAGTTCCAAACAATTAGGATCTTAATTGGGATCTAACATCTTTGATCTGACCTCCTTCCATGGAATTCTTTCATTTTGTAATGTGTTTTTATTTT